GAACTCACTGATGATATGTTTACTCTAACCTTCCCTGGAAGCAGCTCGGGATCCCCCGGGACAGACGGACGGACGGTGTGTCGAGGCGTCACCCTCCAGTCTGTATTCCACGTAAACACTACATTCACCAGCACAGACGGACAGCTTCTGTTTCCTCTGCTCCTGGATTTCAGTGTAAGAACTCACAGCCGGTGGATGCAAAACTCCCGCGAGACCGCTCCAGTCGATTCCAGGCCGAGGAATCAACTGAAACAGGAAATCATGCTGAGAAATTCCCAAAGGGAATGTTTTGGGAAAGACGGGAATACACCCTGACCATGGAACGATCCCCGGGAGCCTGGAGAGAGCGCTTTCAATGCCACAGAAGTAATTGTACAATAACGTGAACTACAGAACAGTTGTGGTGTTTTCATGGTGCAATAAACAGCGTTCGCTGCAGCGCAGCAGCTGCTGATGCTGTTACACGTGTGGCTGACTCGCTTTTAGCCCGTTACGGTTTCTGTTGCGGTCGCGTTTTCATTCTTCTGTTTTTATTGGGCAGAATAAAGTCTGAGCGTCACATCGGCCTCCAAAAACAAAGCAGCTCCACAGAGTCAACGAAAGGCTGAATCATGTTTGTCCTCATGGGAGCAACGGCAGAGACGGCGTCCTCTGGAGACACGGCGTGATTAGTGTTCACGTGCACAGGCAGAGGGTAGCTGTACCTCCTAAATAGGACACACACACACACACACACACACCTCTGGTGCTATAACAGGGGTGTATTTTATCATAGTGCAGACAGCAGCCCGAGTGGCCTACATTCACGGATCACGTGCAGCAGCCGAGGATGCGAGCGATGTGAAGGAGGCGGCCGTTGAACCTCCTTCACTCATTCATGTCTCCAACAGCTGAACGTTGGTCTCAGGTTCAACTTTCCGTCACATTTTACTAAATCCAGCTGAATCCTGTTCAGACGCACTCAGCACTTCATTCCTTTTGTACTTTTATTTGTTTACTTATTGTTTACGTTGCTACCTGCGGGGTCGGGACTCACTGATGTCCATGGATGAACCATCATCAGATCCTTCATGTGCACCAACCTTAAAATGCTCTTCCCCCCCCAAATTTTAATAATATGTCTGCATTAAGTGCATAGTAATTACATAAATTGCAAAAAAGTGCAATAAACTACAAAAAAATTGAAAATCGTTTTTGTT